GTGAGCGGGCACCGCCGCTTCGGGAACATCGTGAGCGGGCACCGCCGCTTCGGGAACATCGTGAGCGGGCACCGCCGCTTCGGGAACATCGTGAGCGGGCACCGCCGCTTCGGGAACATCGTGAGCTGGCACCACCGCTTCGGGAGGCTGGTGAGCAGACACCGCTGCCTCGGGGAATCTGCGAGCAGACCACGCCGCTCGTACCGACATCAGTGGAGGTTCCCGCACGCTGCGTACCAGCCCGCGATGCTCCAGGAACGGGCGTGGGGTACTGGGTGCCGCAGACGAGGCCTCTGACGACCCTGGGATAGCTGCCTCAGGAGAACTGTGAGCAGGCTCTGCAGCCAACTCCATCCTGACGGCTGAGCCGCTCAACTGCAGAGCCAGGTTGACGTAGTCCTCCAGCGCCTCCTCGGGGTGCCAGAATGGCATAAGGGATTTGAAAGGCTCGCTTAGGCCCCCCCAGACTGTGTGCGTGCTCCGCAGCTAACTCCACCCTGAATGCGGAGCCGCTCAACTGCAGAGCCAGGTTGATGTAGTCCTCCAGCGCCTCCTCGGGGTGCCAGAATGGCATAAGAGATTTGAAGGTCTCGGTTAGGCCACCCCAGAAACAGACCATTGAGCAGGTCCTCTCCGTCGCCGACTGGCGAGCCACTCCCACGAAGTCCCTGGCGTAATCCTCAATGCACCGGTCTCCCTGGCGGACATTGAGGAACTTTCCTGCTGGACCCATGCTTGGCGGATTATTCTGTCACGGCGCGGTACAGAAAACACACCGTGTAAACAGGGGTCTGGGTCCAAATGCAGGTTTATTTGACTGCAGGGGAAAAACAAAGTCAAAACCAAAACAGAAAACACAAACAGAGCTAAGACTCTGACACACAGGCTCAGAACCGAAAATGGACTCTGACACAATACGGCCACGTAGAGCTTGCATCAGTCCATGTACCAACACTTAATAATCCGCCCAGAGAGGCGTGGGGAAGGCGTATAAATAGCCCTCAGGATGGGCAACAGCTGTGTGTGTGTGAGTGTGTGCACAGGTGTGTGGAGTCAAGGTAACGGAGTCCGGGAGGATGGGAAGTGGCGACCTCTGGTGGTGAGAGGGAGAACACCAGACCCAGACCCCTGACATTATGTATGTGTGTTGATCACTGTTTTTATGTTAGTAAAAGCCTAAATTAAATCTATTTATCATAGATTGTCTCTTCAGAAGACTTGAGTTAAACCGCTCAGTTCATATGGATTACTTTTACTTTCTGAAGTTTTTGTGGAACGGACTTTCAATGGAGTACAGAAATCTCTCAAGTGCCTTTGAAAATATTTTTATTTGTGTTTGGAAGATGAACTTCCAAACTTCTTGTGGGTTTGGAATGACACGAAGGTCAGTAAATAATGACAGGAGTTTCATTTGTTTAAAAAAAATTTTTAAAACAATATATAACTGCATGGTAGAGATCATCCTTAACAATAAGGACAACAAATGACAACCATGAACAAACTGCATTAACATGAACAATGCTAGCTGACATTCACATTGGAGTAGAGCAACATCCCAGAGGATATTGGCTGAAAGCCACAAAACTACAGCCAAACTAAAACAACCTCTGAATTGAATCAGTGCCTGTGTGAACCAGACTCAACTCAAACTGTGGGTTGTGACTTGTGAGCTTCTCAAAGCTGGAATTTATGGCATTTTGCTATTTAAAACCACCTGTATCCAAGGCCAATGAGCAAAGATGTGTAACCTGATATAAAGAACACAATACCTTGGTTTCAGGACAATGTATCAAGGGTTTCATGAACACCAAATGCTAACGGCCTTCCCAGTCACCAGCTCCAAACATGACTGCATCATTGTGGGGCATTCTGAAGCACTGAGTGCAGTGATTTCCAGCTCTGGAAGCTTTCTTTGTGATTAACTGTGTTCAGAATTTTGTGCATCTCACAGTGCAATGTATTTCTCTTGATCTTTTCAGTCTGATGATTGAACTGCAAATTAATATTCATTATTTTAATTAACTGCCAAAAGATTTTTTACACTAAATTGAATTTAAAATGCAAAAACAGCCCTTTTTAGCTCCAAAATGATAACACCACTATTCATGATGAGGTCATGTGACAACAATGTAGTGTGCCATGATTCAAACAGATTACGTTTCCATTTTGGTGCTGTTAGAGGATTAGAAATTGCACACTGCACCTTTACAAAACTAATTAGACAGGTTTAATGGTTTCTTAAAAATGATTTAGGCTAATTTGATTTGTTTCCCTTTGTGTGAATCACTCAAAAAACAGTTCAGTTCAGAAAACCGCTGAACTTGAGTAAAGACATTCCCTGTTCATTGGGGAAAAAAACAAAGTATTTTAACTATTTTTAATTTCAATAATTCTGAAAAACAATTATCTATCTATTCAGTGACTATTGATTTTTATTGTATGATTGCCCTCTAGTGGAGAAACACTAATTAATACCAACAGAGTAGCATGGATTTATTTCTTTAACAAATCATTGTTAATTTTGACAGAAATTTTTTATTTCGTTTTAGTCATAGTCTTTGGACTAAAATGCCATTTAGATGTAGTCATCTGAATTGTTTTAGATACAGTAGATTTAGTTAACTAAAATCTAATGGGTTTAGTTACAGTGTAATGCATTAGGCTATACTGTATATTCCTGGAGATAACATCTAAAGTGTATGCAAACTTATGTCAGTAGGCTGCATGTCAGTTCAAATGTGCACATCTGAACTTCTGACTGGATCTCTTCCCAAATCGTCCCTCCATAAGATTTTCATCTCATTTAAATTTTTTTACGAAAATTTCAATAGATTTTCGTCATAGTTTTTGTCATTCAAGATGAGTTTTTATTTCGTTATCGTCTCGTTTTCGCTGGTAAAAAAATGTAATTGATGGAAATTATGACAAAATTATTTTAAAAATTATATATATAAAATGCTGCTTTTGATTGTTTTCAAAAAAGATTAAAAAACACAATTCATGATTTTATATATATATATATATATATATATATATATTTATTAATTACCTTGTATGATCACACTTAAAGGTGCCCTCAGTACATTGTTTGCTAATTAAACAAGTTTTACTCAAAAATAAATCAGTGGTAATTTTGAGAAATATTAGTAAAATGATGTACATTCGCATGAGATGAAGACTGAAGACATTTCAGTCTTCTAAAAAAAATATGTTTTCTTATGAAGATGACAACTCCCATGATTCCACACTCAGTCACGGCGTCATCAAACTACGCCTTTGTTTCTTTGTTTGTTTTGAATACGCGCCCTCTAGCGGTGAAAACTTACATATTGTACCTTTAATATTACAACAATGATAAATGTAAAAACATTTTGTTAAAAAAGTGATAAATGAAGTCAAGTAAAATGGAACTGTGTTATAGTCCAGACATTTTGAGTATCATGTAAACATTGTTTGTTAACCTTGTGTTAATTAGGAGCTTTCTGCCCCATTTCCCTCCAGCTCTTCCACAGCAGCAAGCTTTGGCTCTTTCCCTTGGTGACCAAAAAGCGAGGTAGTTTATAGCCATTAAACTGGCCTACTCCAGCATCCTTGCCCATAGCAATCAGCATAGTCACATTTCCTGATTGGGAAAAGGACATTGATCAATGGACATAATGTGGCATAAAACTCGAGAAAGCTGTCTGAATTGTACTATAAAATAATGATGAAAAATTAACTTTTTAAAAAAGAGCTCCCAAAGGACAGCTGAAACTAATTCACTTGGTGATGGTTGTTACCTGTGCGATATGAGGTTAAAGATTTTCCTGTCAGACTATTTATGATATTGGTGGCAGCAACCGCAGCATGAAGTCCAGCATGATACGCCAACTTGGGTTCATCGAGATCGGCACAGTCACCCACAGCATACACACTGTCAAAGCCTTCTACTTGCAGGTGCTTGTTCACCTTCAGAGCACCATTCTCTGCCATACAAGCAGCTGAAATATGAGGGGAAAATGAAATGTACAAAAAAACATTGTATGGGTCAAAAATGATCGATTTTTCTTTTATGCCAAACATCATTAGGATATTAAGTAAAGATCATGTTCCATGAAGATATTTTGTAAATTTCCTACCGTAAATATATCAAAACTTAATTTTTGATTAGTAATATGCATTGCTAAGAACTTCATTTGGATAACTTTAAAGGCGATTTTCTCAGTATTTAGATTTTTTTTGCACTCTCAGATTCCAGATATTCAAATAGTTGTATCTCGGACGAATATCCTATCCTAACAAACCATACATCAATGGAAAGCTTATTTATTCAGCTTTCAGATGATGTATAAATCTCAATTTCGAGAAATTGACCCTTATGATTGGTTTTGTGGTCCAGGGTCACATATTATTAAGATTAGATATCATCTCAACAAATGCAAATAACTACTATTAGCCCATTTATTACATACAAAAAGCACTTACTAAGACTGGACCTGTATGCTTCAGAGTTGATCTTATTTCCTGTGCAGCAGATGACTAGATCAGCAGTGACCTGCTCACTCTTATTGGTCTTGACCACCATGCCTTTCCGACACACATTCAATTCCAGCTCATCAAGGTTTGTCACTTTCTGCCCTGCATTCAGGTACATAGGGAAACAGAGAAGAAAACAGTTAGAAAACATGCACATTTAATGTTATATATGTGGCCTGAAGCATAGTACATGTTTTAATAGTTTGCATAGTCTAATTCAGCTTGTAACATTTTCCTTTTTCCTGAAAAGGCCATCTTCCCATAGACCACATTCTGTAAGGAATAACATAGTCAGTCAGCCATTGCAATATAAACACCTTTAAGGTGATAAAAGTGCCCTCAGCCCCACAACCAGTCATATTACATGGCTACTAATTAAATAAATCAATGCGTGGACATGAAATGTTGATTTGAGCTGTTAACTGTATATTATATTAAAGCTTTCACTAAGAAAAATATCCATAACAATGTAAAAAAAAAAAAAAACTATCAGACGAGAACTGCAATGATACTAAAGTAATATTAATGCTGAAGTTTTCTACAGTTATTCTCAAAAGCTGCTACCAGTTGCATTTGAAAAACAAACTGCTGATAGTATAATTTATATTGGAGTGCAACTGGCAACTACCAAATAATAATCATGCTGAAAGCATTCTAATTTTAGCTGTTTTGTTTTTTTGCTTATGTTTTGAAATGCAGCAATTGTCAGTATATGAGACAATGTTTTCCGCCGAGTTAACATTTTATTAAAGTCAAATAATAGCAATATCTTTATCAGCAACATTGGGTCTCCAGTGTCTCATATTTCTCACTGTATTTCCCTTAGAAGAAAAACAGACATGTGATGCCCCACATCAGGCACAGGAATACAATGTAGATGCTAAGCAACCTCGACACGCAAGATCATTACCTAGCAAAAGCTCCACCCCCTTTTCCAGCAGCACCTGTTTGGCTTGCTCTTTGACGGAAGGCAATAGATCAGGATCAGCCACCTCCTGAAAAAAAATAACATTTAAGTTCACAATTTAGAATAAGAGTGCAAAGTCTATTTGTGTGTGAATGCAGAGCTTTACATTCTTATTAGTAAATTCAGTCCTGATCTCAGCAGCCATTTCAACACCGGTGGTTCCGCCACCAACAACTACAACCGTGTTTGCTTCCTGGATCTGAAACACTGGATGAAAATGTAAATAAATCTAGCTTTTTAACAGTTTAGTCTGTGTTGCCACTTAAGATCACACCACACTGTGGTTATGTAACAGCTCAAAATAAACATGCCTAATAACAAAACTCACCACTTTAACAGTCCTCATACTTCTGAATGGCTGATTGGTAGGTGTCCACAGAATTATGTTTGCCTGGAAATTGTCCGCTTGTTCCAGTGCACAGAATGATGTGTGAATAACGTACTTGCTGTAGATTAATATTGGCACTCATTAAAGCTCACATATGCTCAAATTTTGTTTTCTTCAGCTGTAACATTGTAATATCTCTTACCTTTCCATTGTCAAGCACAACTGTCTGCGTTTCTGTGTCTATCTGCAGTGTTGGGGAAAGTTACTTTTAAAAGTAATGCATTACAATATTGCGTTACTCCATAAAAAAGTAACAAATTACGGTACTTAGTTACTTTTTATGGAACGTAATGTGTTACGTTACTTTTGCGTTACTTTTTAAATCTGGACAGGGCTTGCTTGTTTGTTTAAAAAAAAAAAAACTGTCGTCACCGATAACCTCGTGGGCAGCGTGTCGACATGTAGCGCCATTGCGCTTCGGGCATCCCGTGTTCCGAGTAGATAACACAACAGAAGTGCGCGCTCTCTCCCTACCATTAAGTAACTTGTGCATTGATTTACTTACTTGTTTTTGACACATCCGACCGAACTACAAACTTTCCAGTGATGTCTGTGAGAAAGGTATATTCACTCGACAAGCTCGCGCAT